GGTGGAGGCTAGATATTATGAAGAAGACATTGGTACCATTCGGTTTTTTGGGATGGATAGACATGGGAAGCCGATTGGGATAACAGCATGCAGCAGACCGTCATTGTCTAAGCGTGTTGTAGAGGAAGTTTGTGATGAACTTTTTCGGCCAACAACAATAATTCCTTATAAGCCGAAGGGGAAATTAAAAATTGAAGAAATCTAATGAAGCAAGCACGTCTGAGGCAAGAAAGAGAAAAGGCCGTGTTGGAGATAACAAAGAAATTAGCGGCCTATTTTGTTGAAAAAGCAGTTCAAGTGGACAAGTCTGAAATTGTCCATGAAGGCGAAGAGGCAGACTAGGGTGATGAAATAACTTTGGAGGAGCTAGATCTTGCCCCAGCCAAGTTGGATGATTTAAAAGCTGAAGTTCAAGACCCATTGGAGGAGATCAATCTAGGGTCTGAAAGTGAGCCAAAGGTAACATTTATCAACGACTCTTTTGAGCCACAGACACGAGATCAAATTGTCAAACTTTTGCATGAATTTAAACACTATTTTGCTTGGGATTACTCAGAAATGCCAGGTCAGGATGGAAAACTGGTGGAACATAAACTGCCAATTGCAGAAGGATTCAGACCGTATAAACAGCCGCCCAGATGCATGTCTGCAGAGGTCACTTTGAAGGTGAAAGAAGAAATTGAGCGACTGGTAAAAGCTGGATTCATTCGAACATGCAGGTATGCAGAATGGTTGTCAAATGTAGTGCCTGTGCTGAAAAAGAATACAAAACTAAGAGTCTGTGTTGATTTTTGAAACTTGAATTTAGCTACACCAAAGGATGAGTATCCTATGCCAATTACAGACTTGTTGGTTGATGGAGTAGCACATCACAAAATTCTATCTTTCATGGATGGTCATAGTAGGTACAACCAAATTTTTATTGCAGACGCAGACGTTCCAAAAACAGCCTTTCGATGCCCAGGTGCTGTTGGAACTTTTGAATGGGTTGTGATGCCATTTGGTCTGAAGAATGCTGGAGCTACCTATCAAAGAGCCATGAATGTAATTTTTCATGATATGATTGGTAAGTTCATGGAAATCTATATTGATGATGTTGTGGTGAAGTCACATAGGGAAGAAGACCACTTGGTCCATTTGAGGAAGGCTTTTGAGCGGATGAGGCAACATGGCTTGAAAATGAACCCACTAAAGTGTGCTTTTGGAGTGTCTGCGGGTAACTTCCTTGGGTACTTGGTGCATGAGCGTGGTCTAGAGGTTGACAAGAACAAAGCCAGGGCTGTGATTGAGGCAAAATCACCACAAAATAAGAAGGAGTTGCAGAGATTTCTTGGCCAAGTTAATTTCTTAAGATGTTTCATTTCTAACTTGGCTGGGAAAACCAGAGTCTTTTCTCCTCTATTGAAACTCAAGTCTGAGGTAGATTTTAAGTGGAAAGAACACCACCAATTTGCCTCTGATATGATAAAGCGGTACTTATCTAGACCACCAGTACTTGTCTCGCCTATGAAAAATAAACCTTTAATTTTGTATATATCTACCGTAGACAAGTCCATAGGATGTTTGCTGGCGCAGGAAAATGAAAAAAAACAAGAGCAAGCTATGTATTACTTGAGTCGATGTTTGACCCAGACCGAAGTGAAATATTCTCAGGCCGAAGTGAAATATTCTTCGGTCGAAAAGTTGTGTCTTGCTCTCTTTTTTGCTGCAATAAAATTAAGACATTATTTGATTTATTCCGAGGTCTATGTGGTTGCTAAGACTGATATTGTCAAATATATGTTGTCTCGCCCTTTGTTAAGAGGCCGAATAGGTAAATGGATTCTGGCCTTGTCTGAATTTAATTTGAAGTATATACCACAGAAGGCTGTCAAAAGGCAGGCACTGATAGACTTTCTTGCAGATAATCCATGTCTGGACGTGGAAGCAGATGAAGAAAAAGGGATTAACTTGTTTTCAGTAAGTTTAGTTCCTTGGAAACTTATTTTTGATGGATCTAGTACAGAAACCATGTCTGGAGCTGGAGTCGTGGTAATCTCCTCGTTTGGGCTAAAAACACAGATGTCTTTCCAGCTAGATTTTGATTATACAAATAATCAAGCAGAATATGAAGCTTTGATTATTGGTCTTGAGATGTTGGTGGAGCTTAAAGTATCCATGGTTGAGGTTATAAAGGACTCACAACTAGTCTTGAAGCAATTGTCTGGTGAGTACAAATGTACTAGCCTTGCTTTAGCCCCTTATTTTGCCTTGGCTGTGCAATTACTGGAAGAGTTTGACGATGTGTCCATCAGACACGTGCCTAGAGACCAGAACTATGAAGCTAATGAAATGGCCCAGATTGCTTCAGGTCTGCAAATTCCTGAAGGTGTAATGCAGAAAGTTGTAATAGTTGAAAAGCATAGTCTACCATCAATTCATCAATGTGGCATGACAGTTTCTACTTGCAACATTGATGTCACCCAGACAGACTGGCGTTTTCCAATTATCTAGTACCTTAAGGATCAAAGCACTAAGGTATTTAGGAAAACCAAAATGCAAGCTCTCAATTATGTTTTGATTGAGGATGTGCTTTATAGGAGAGGCCATGATGAAATATTGCTGTGTTGTCTGGGTCCAGATGAAAGTTTCCAAATGTTGTCTAATGTCCATGATGGGATTTGTGGTGCACATTAGGCTAGAATCAAGATGCGCTGGCTGAGTCGCAGACATGGTTTCTTCTGGCCATCTGTCTTGAAAGACTGTATTGCTTATGCTAAGGGCTGCAAATCTTGTCAGATCCATAGGCCACTTCAAAGAGTTCCAGCCTTTGAACTTAATTCTATTGTGAAACTGTGGCCATTTCGAGGCTGGGCTATTGACTTGATTGGTAAGGTGTATCCCCCTTCATCAAAAGGTCATTCATTTATTATAGTGGCAACGGATTATTTTACCAAATGGGTGGAGGCTAAACCAATGAAGAAGGTAGATCAATCTAATGTAATCAAGTTCATCAAAGAGGACATTATTCACAGATTTGGTCTGCCAGAAACAATTACAACAGACCAAGGCACAGTTTTTGTCAGCCAACAAATGGAGGCATTTGCAAAGGAAATGGGTTTCCGTCTATTAAATTCTACTCCTCATTATGCACAAGCTAATGGGCAAGCGGCGGCTTCTAACAAGGTGGTGATTAATTTGCTTGAAAAAATGGTGGATGACAACCCCAGACGCTGGCATGAACTGTTGTCTGAAACACTGTGGGCTTATAGAACTTCACAAAGGACTTCAACCAAGATGACACCTTTTGCCTTGACATATGGCCACGATGCAGTCTTGCCAATGGAGTTAACAGTCAAGTCTTTAAGAATAGCAATTCAACATAATCTCCAGTCTGGGGAATATGACGAGGCTATGATGCTTGAACTTGAGGACCTTGAAGACACACGTTTGGTAGCTTTGGATAGATTGCAAGCTCAAAAGCTCAAAATTGCAAAGTCTTACAACAAGAGAGTGAAAGGTAAAAATCTAGTAGTTGGTGACTTAGTCTGGAAAGCAATTTTACCTCTTGGCAAGAAAGATCACAGATTTGGAAAGTGGTCCCCAAATTGGGAAGGACCATTCCGAATTCATGAAGTGTTGAAAGGGGGTGCTTATTGGTTAGAGTCACTTGTTGGAGAGCTTCATCCTAGAAAAATCAATGGAATTTATCTCAAGCCTTATTACCCCACAGTCTGGGAGGCAAGAGGAATGGAGTCCCAACAAGCTGTTTGAGCCAGGTTCACACTTCTTTTTGTGCATAATTAAATTAGGTTTCTTTCATTTATTTTATTTTGAATGAGAGAAAGATTGATCAAGCGGCCATGACTGGCTATGGATGGCTGGATGCGCTCAAACAGAGTCAGCTGTGAAAATGTTGGGAATACCTGCTGCAATCATCTTGGGATTTAGCAGATTTTGCACGTAGCCTTTGGAGTTTGAAAGGTAATTTAAAATTTAAACACTTGGATTTATTCCCATAAAACCAAGTATTGGGGGGCATTGTTTACACCTAAAATAAACCAATAAGGTAAGGCCACATGTCAAGGTAAAGCCCAATTATCAAGATAATCAATAGGCTGGATTTGGGCTGGGCTAGTTTACAATTAATGGCCCAGACGAATTTTCAAGGAGGTTGGATCTTAGGTGGCAGAAGATAAGATTGGATCTGGTAGTTTGAGTTTGATTTAAAGTGGGAAATTGAGGATTTTTAAGTAGTTATCTTTAAGGTTGTTGGAGATAAGGTTAAATAGAAATTATCAGATAACTGTCAAACAACTGCCAGACATCTAATCCCACTACCAGATCATGGAGGAACAGTACCAAAAATCATGGAGGAAGTTTCCAGCACCGAAGAAAATAAAAACAGAGAGAAGAGAACAGTTCAGAGTCTTGCCCAACACACACACAGACTGCCCAGAGCATGTTTTTCAGCTTTCAGACTGCATTTTCCAGATTTCAACAATAGTTTCCAAATTTTCTAGATTAGTTCATAGCCTTAGCCTAGGTTTGTTCATCTTTGTTCATATTTTCTTCCGCAAATTTCAATTTAAATTAATTTTTAAGCATTTGGAAGCAACTTAGCCTTCAAAACAGGTTTACCCTTTTGATTCAGTTAATTCTTCTTCCTTTTATGGAATTAGTTATGTTATTCGTTCATGTAAATAGGTTGAACATTCTCTACCTTTGTTCTTTTGACTCTGCACAATATCCAGACATGCAGTTTGTTTAATTTCAATTTCCAGATTTAAATGTATAAGTTTCCACACTTTAATCATTTCATAATTTCTACTTCAGTTTTAGTTAATCATTATGGGCTGTGTAGTTGAAATCATTGTCTGTTATTTTACTTTTTCTGTTGTCTGCGAATTTAATCTTTATGGCATGTTATTTTCTATTATTTACTTCATGTTAGTTTAATTGCCTTAGGATATTGCATTTATTTTAGGATTTGTAGCTTTTATTATACTTGTTTGGTTGTGAAGTCCTTGGAGGTTTCCAAGGCAATTAGTAACCCATTTGCATAACTCTACCCTCTGTTTTGCAACATCGTCTGGGGCGCAATTCATTTCACAGACGTTCTTTTCAGCCATCATATTGGAGGTTGACCGTTGGAAAGGAGAAGGGTCATCTGGAAAATCCAGTTTTCTTGTTTTTAAACAAAGCAAGTGGCACGCCTAATAACCAAACTCACATGGTAAAGGTCGGCTAAGGATTTTTGAGGAAACACATGTGTTTAGCAGTTTTTCTACACATGTACAACCTTGTCAATCTAGGTGTTATTGGGAGGTACCACAATAACTTCCTTGGTATATGTTGATTTTGTTGCACATGCCCCTACTTATAACAAGGTTCATCATATATTGGGCATGTGATGTAGTTTTTGCCTTTATATTCACCATAATACAAGAAGCAGTTAATTATACAAACATCATACTTCTTATAACCTAGACTGAAACACCTCATCATCTTTTTAACACTATAAAAATATTTTGGAATCCTATCTCAATCCTCTGGCTTAATCCATCTCTTACTACACTTTAACACATAATCCAAATTGGACACACTCATATTATAAAATGTCTTTGCATTCATAAAATGAGATACCCATTTGAGTACTGTATCACTCTCATCACATCCATATAAAGTGGTGTGTTAGCATGTTGCAAAAGATCAAAAAATTCCTTTTCATCTTTTATTGCCACCTCAAAGATTGGCTGATCACTAGCTTGTTTATTCATATTATATTTGTCACGCCCTAGAACCCAAATCCGGGGTCGTGGCAGACGCCGTGCACTCGTGAGCGGAGCCCACAAATGCACAAGGCTCGAGACCTACTGAGTTCTTACTTAGCAATTCAAATTTAAGCCTTTTAATCTACCAAATAGTTACCAGTCGAATGTACAAAATTTATCACTTCATATATACAATCATGACTAACACTAAATTCTGTACACAAAATTTTCTATGTCAAGCATGGGTGACTAACGGCTTAGCTACAAAAACCTAAGTCCAAAAGTGCCTAGCCGTCTAGCTTGTCACTCCCCCGGGCTTCCCACGCGTCGGGTCTCACTACCTGAAATGGTGGACAAGGAAACCGTGAGATAGAAATATCTCAGTAAGTAAACATGGGGGCCCGACATCAAAGTTTAAAGCATGCCAAATAATCGGTTGAAACATGAACAGAGCGTTTCAAGAACAAAGCGTTTTAATAACAAATCATCAATGCAAAATAAAATCACGTAGTGGTCTCCTCTATTAGTCATGGCCAGTGTTATAAACCTCCCACTGGCAGGCACACGAGTACTAGTGTATAATCCCCACTAGTAGGGCCACGAGTGAACCGGTTCTATCACGAACATGTCGACATGTGCTAGCGTTTGTAACCTCCCACTAGCGGGCACACAATTAACACGACCATATTGGAGACAAAACCAAGCAAACTTTACAAACAAAACCGAAATTCACAATCGTTCTCACTTTCAAAAATAAACCGAAGAATCTCATGTGGGCATGCTCAATTCTAGAAAAGAAGGAAAATAATAAAAGTTCAAATTCCCTTTTTAATCATGCTCAAATGCAAATAAATCCATTTAAACCTTGCCACCATCTCAGAAAACAATTAAAATATGCTTCAAAAATTTACAGGCTTTACCATAATTTACTTACCTTAATCACGCAGACAAAAGGCTTAATCCAAGTGCTAGGATCACGGGGCAATCAAGGACCTAATCACAATATTCCCAAATTAATATCTATAAGGAAATTTTATTTCTTTATTTATTTCCTATCCAAAAATTGGGCATTCACTGGGATTGGGTATTTATCTATGTATATTCAATTACAAGATTACACATATACAATTTTCAAACTCATGGACAAGAATTTGGGAGAACCGGCCTTGACAGAAAATGGCCAATTCACAGAATTATCCCCTTTTTCTCTCGGACATCACACAACAATCAAACCCACTAATTTTCCTACACAAATCATCAACCAAAACCCATTTTCAAATGGCCAAAACTCATCCCCCACCTTCGGCATCTTGTTTCTCTAACAACCCAAACACCCACACAACCAATTAAGCTCACAAGCAACAATTAATCCACCAATTTTCAAAGATTAGAGAAGCCAACTTACCAGAAATGCTCAGCAAGCAAGGCTGAGGCTGGCGGGTATGGGAGGAACCGACAGGAAAAATTGGGGGACTTTCACGGGCCACTAGCAATTGAAAGAACAACAAGATTAGAGTGACCCAACATAAATCAAGGCTGAAAAGAGGAGTTTCTGGGCTGATTTTACTAGGAAAAACCGGAGCTTATACCCAGCAACAGCCGGCGGCAGGGAAGGAAGAAGGCAACAGATCAGGGAAAATTTCTGCAAGAGAGAGAAGTTCTAAGTTCTAGACTTGTTCTTGGGCAAGAGGAAAACAAAAATCATCAAGTTCTTTTACCAATTTTTTGGATGAAGGTGCTGGAAATGGCTGGTGATGTTCGGCTGCAGGGAGAAAGGAAAACAGAGCAGACACGCGAAAATGCTGGAAAGAAAGAAAGAAAGAAGAAAAAGATAAGGGAAATGAGTCAGCCGGCCTTATCCAAACACCTTTTAACCCCTTTAAGGTTTGAAAAATTGACGGTTAGGTCCATTAATAATGTTTTCTCACTATTAAGTCCCTAACTCAACTTATATGCTCTAGGAAATTTTGGGGTATTACAATATTCTATACCATCCATAACCATGTCTCTGATTGGATCATTACCTGGTTCTTCCATCACAAAAGGAGCTGCACTTGAGGATTCCCCCCATTGATGACGTTGTCGCTTTCACACTGATTACTCTCCATGTGCAAGCCATACTACATACCCATTCATAAAACCTTTTTCTGTCAAATGACACTGAATAGTAACACGACAATGCCATTCTCCATTCATACATTTCCTACACAGACACCTAATGTGATTTCTACTACAAAATTTTGGATTGGATTGGGAAAATGCAAAATCTCATAAGTACTCCATGCCAATTTTGAATTCATCAGTAAAATAGCCATTATCATCTAGATGATGATACATCCAATGTTGATCTCCTCGCATTTAAAATATTTCCTTAAATTTTTATTAAAAAAATTCATATCTCCACACAAAAAATATATCAAATTTGATAATTTGGTAAGCATATTTTATAAACTAAAATTAAAAATTAATATAATAATTGTAATCATAAGTTATCAATCAATTAATCAATGTAATAATAATTTACAAATGAATTAATTAATAATAAATCAATATAATTATAATTTACAAACCAATTAATTAATATAATCATAATTTATCAATCAATTAAACAATATAATCATAATTTACTAATTCATTAATCAAAATAAGCATACTTTATATCAATCAATTAAATAATATAATCATAATTTTTCAATCAACAAATTAATCAATATAATCATATTTAACCAATCAACAATTAATATTATAACTTTTTCCTAAACTAAATTTAAAAATAAAAATGTAGCAAAAAATTATTTAGAACATACTTATAAAAATGGAGATTTGCAATTTAGGTGATCAATCAAAGTGAAATTAAAATTTTCAATTTGATGGCAGACTTAAAAAAAGGAAAAAAAAAAGATTAATGAATTGAGAATGGTAAAAAAATACAAATAAAAATATAAATTATAATAGTTAATTTATGAAAAGCAAAATAATATATCAGCAAATATAAAAAGTAGCACTTTTAAATAAATATTAATTATATAAATAAAAACAAGATAACAAAATAAATTATAAACTTAGTAATCAATCAAATAATTAATAATTATAACGTAAATTTACCTACTAATTAACTAATCAATATAATCAGAATTTACTAATCAATTAAATGATATTATCATAATTTAACAATTAATAACTAATCAATTAATAATAAATCAATATAATTATAATTAATTTACAAATCAATTAATTAATATAATAATAATTTATCAATTAAAAATAAATTAATATAGTCATAATTTACAAATCAATTAATTAATATAATCATAATTCATCAATTAATAATAAATCAATATAATCATAATTTATAAATCAATTAAATAATAGAATAAGGAAAATGCTATTGAAACAATCATTTTGTTCCACATTTTTGTACAACTTGATGTGTCATTAAAGTGATTGGTTCTTTTAATTTATGTGTGATCCATGATATTAAATGCATCCACTCATTTAATAACATGTGGAAGTTATACAAAAGGTGGGACAAAAATGTCGTCCCAATAGCACTACCCATAGAATAATAATTAATCAATCAATTAAACAATTTAATTATAATTTACTAATTAATTAATCAAAATAAGCATAATTTACCAATCAATTAAACAATATAATCACAATTTATCAATCAATCAATTAATCAATATAGTCATAATTTCCCAATCAATAATTAATATTATAATTTTTTCCTTAATTAAATTTCAAAAAAAATTTAGCAAAAAATTATAACATACTTATAAAAAATAAAGACTTGAAATTCTAGAGAATAAAAATGAAGTTAGAACTATACTCTTGATGGCGGACCTAAAAAAAAAAAAAAACAACAAAAGATTAATGAGTTGAGACAAGTAAAAAACATATAAATAAAAATAAAAATTACAACAACTAATTTATGGAAAGTAGAACAATATATTAACAAATTCACATAAAAAGTAATATTTTTAGGTAAATATTAATTATATAAATAAAAAAATTGAAATACTTATTAATCAAATAGAACAATAGATCCAGATCCAGAAACAAGAAGAATGGAGACAACTGGTGGTAAAAATGTAGAGTAGTCAAAAGTGAATTACTTGAAAAATGAAGGAAAAATACTGA